GAGCCGCGCGCGGGACTCGAACCCTGGCCCGGCCTCGCCGCCGGTGTCCCGGACCCTCGGCCCGGGCCGCCCTGGAGTTGTTCAAAGTTCTCCACGCGGCGTTGGTGGCCCGCCAGTGAGGAGCGCACTGCAGTTCCCAACCACTGCTGCTTTCTCGGACAGTTACCACCAATAAAACAAACGAAAACGTTTCAGATTTTCCCCTTCATTGTTACCTGCAGACAGTCACACCTAAGTTTTTTAAGTTTTCCCTTTATGTACTAGCATCGGGGATGGAGAATGAGAAAGGAACTGTACTCTGATAGGACTCCCTGTGGTTGGTTGGAACTTGCATTTAGGCATTTATTTCAGTGCCTATTCTGGAATTAGAAGCTGGAGGGAAAGTTTATCGTGTCAAAGAGTAAATCTTGACTGTCGTCTTTATTTTCGTTTCGTTTAATCCTGAAAAACATTCTCGAGGGTTGATACAGTCACAAAATCCACAAAGTACAAAAGGGATATTCAAAGCCTCTCTCCCCACTCAAGCTGGGCACCCGCACAATATTTCAGTTTCCTGTATATCCCTTCAGAGATTATGTACTTGGGGATGCCTCTTCTGCTTCCTTTTAAAAGTGGAGTTGCTTTTATGAAATGCCCAGCAGATTTGCTGATGCGCAATAAATGTTAATTTTTCATAGAAAACAGTTTAATAAATCTGCCTTCCGCTCAGGAAACAGTTTAATTAGTCTTTTTTTTTTAATTAGACTTGCTGGGAAAAAATAATTTTCTTTTGGCTGTAAGCATTTACAGGTTTGACTGCATAGTGAATGTGTGTGTTCTTTTGGTTCATCAGGACTTAGGTGAATACTTTCACATAAAGTCGAATACATTGACATTTTGGGGTAATGGGGCAGTGAAGGAGAAATCAATATATTGTAAGAGAGGTCTTAATATATACAAAATATAGTTCCAAAAATTCTCTGAAACAATTTATGGATAGTACAATAGGGACAAACAAGCTAAATGAGAAAATTGAGGTAGAGAGAGAAAAAAAAATACAAAATCAAGGGAAAAGATAATACCAAGCACATACTATGAGGACCTGTATTAGAGGTGAGTCAGTTCAGGTTTGGGACTTGGTAGGAGCCTGGGGTGGTGGGGGAACACAATACAAAGTAAACTTCAGTATGTTTCTAATTGCAGCATTAAACCAGTTCTGCCTAAGCAAAGCATTTGCTAGTAATGAGCAATGAGAGGAGCATTTTCTCATAGGCCCTAATAAAAAAGGAGATGTGATGTAGTTGACAATATCTTTAAAGAAACAGTTTTGCACAAAAATATTTAATATAGGCCAGTAATAGAACTCTAAGGATAAGTTCTCTGAAGGCGTCGTTTGATTTATTCATAACCTTTAGAATGATCTGGACTAGGATTTCCTAAACCATGGTCTAGGGAATGAAAAATTAGTTGACTTCTTGAAATAAAATTCTGAGTTCAAATAAGTTTAAGATAGCTGGGTTAGACAGAGTCAGTTGTTTTTTACAACAGTTTTTTGAAAGGGTTTCAACGCTAGTGTTCAAGTTGACTCTTTAAAGAGGAGTATATTTTATAACCATTTCCAAATTTAATGGATGGATTATCTATTCTTCACACAGTTCTTCATGAGTATTTCCTACAACTCAGATTTGATAAGAAGTGGAGAGCAGAAAGTTTGAAGTTAACCAGTATGATGAGGACACCACCAAAGTGAAGATAATCTAAAAAAAGTCCAGAATTTTAATATATTTTGTATCAAAGAGAAAGGTTACTTTCCCCCTGAATTCTTTCTTCCTTTTTTTTTTTTAATATTTATTTTTTAGTTTTCGGCACACACACACATCTTTGTATGTGGTGCTGAGGATTGAACCCGGGCTGCATGCATGCCAGGGAGCAGCTACCGCGTAAGCCACATCCCCATATAATCGCCAATCATAATTCTTCGTTGTTCTGCAAGTTGCCTGTTGGGCCAAATTGCCCTCTTAGATGTGTTTCTCTTCTATGCTTGAAAGCACTGTGAATCAAAGCAGGTTTAAGCAAGTAGAAGTCTTTGGGGAATGACTTAGTTATTCTTGGAGGTAAATGTGTGATTGGCATGTTATTTTATCACAAACACTGTTTATACTATTAATTTACTACCAACTTTTAAATTCTGTGATTGTAAAAGACCTTAGAAAGCATGGAACATAGTATAAAGAGAAAAGATTTAGAATCAGAAAATCTTGGATTGTGCTACTAATGTGCAGGATTGTTTTCAGCAAATTTGTGAACCTCTCTGAATTTGTTTCCTTATTTGTAAGACTGGAGTGATTATAGCACACAATTCATTTATGGAATAAATACTGAGAGCCTGCTAGGTACTGGGTAATAGAAAAACAGCTTTAAGAATGCGAATGAAATAATGTGTCATGAATCCCTGTCTAAATTTATTCCAGAGGAGTAGAGATGGCAAGAGTTAGAGCAAAGAATAGCACCTTATCTAAATCTATCTGGTTCTTGAGTTTTAGACCACAAGTACAGAAAGTTGAGGGGATGAGGATTTGTTTTAAAATTTTTATCTGAATCCCTTCATTTTCTGTATTTGGATTATGAGTTTGGGGAATATGGGACAGATCTATACAAAAGTGATTTCTGAATGATATACCGCTATACAAAATGTTACCATTCTGAAGACAAAGAGAGGGCTAGAACTGTTCATTTTCTTCACACCATTTGTGAGAGAGATGTTTGATAAGTATATTGGGCAAGGTATATATTATGCTATAGGAATTAAAGACCCTCATATCCTACCGGTTTGAAACAACACAGGTTTATTTCTGTCATATGTCCAGTGAAGGGCAACACTAGAGCTTTCTGCTCCAGGTAGTCATTTGGAATCCCAGGATGTCAGACTCCATCTCAACAAAATTCTTCCACAGTTGTTAAGGGAAAAGGATGTGGTGAATGATTGTACATTGGCTCCAAAGGCTTCTACTTGAAAGTGAAAGGGTAACATGTCATTTCATTGGCCAGACAAATATATGACTACACCTAACTTCAACAAAGTGGGAAATGCAATTTTACCATGCGGCCAGGAAGAGGAGAACCAAAATAGTCTATGAACAATTTTAATGAGTGACATAGTTTTACTATGTCATTAAACTATGGGCTATGGGCTTCATAGTTCTAAGACTTAACACATACCTGTGGGGCATATCTATAATCCCATCTACTCAGGAATTTGAGGTAGGAGGATTGCTAGTTTGAGGCCAGCCTGGACAACTTAGCAAGACAAATAAAATAACAAATAAAAAGAGCTGGGAATGTACTCAGTGGCAGAGTGCCCCTGGGTTCAGTAGCCAGTGCTGCAAACAACCCAAAACAAGAAGCTGAATAAGTCAAATCCAAATTACATTTTTGTATTCTGTTTTAGAAATAGAAAACAGTATTTCTTTGTGTATGTATGTGTGTGTTTAAACAGAATTATGCTAAGAATTATAAAGAACATCTTTTATAAAATTGAAATGAAATTCTGTTGAAAACTCCACAATTAGATGTACTGTTTTGATCAAGTGAATTTCATTCTTTTTTAATTGTATATCTATTCAGTAATCATTTGTTACATTCATATAAGGCACTGTGTTAGGTCCTGTGAGGATAAAAAGATGAATAGGGTGTTCACAACTCTAATAGAAAATAGCTCTAATTTGAGTTGTCTCTTTCTCTTTAAAGCAACATTAATAGAATTTTTCAGCATGTTAAAATCTGACAGAATCTCTGTGTATGTGTGTGTGTGTGTGTATTATACTTTGTCCCCCTGCCTTGTTTTGGTCTAAAGATTATTTCCTGACAAGTTACATAAAAAACGACTTAAACTAGCTTAAGCAAAAAGATTGTTGCATTAGAAAAGGAATATAGCTTTCTGTCTTCAAGGCAACTGACGTCAGTAACAGAAAATTAGGAGCTAGAGCTATTTTCTCTTTCTCCAGTTCTATACACTTTCTTGACAGTAAGTCTTTCTTCACATATAATGTCTTTGTTTTATTTCTCCATTCACTAATTTTTCTGTGTTTTGTTGTTACATGGGTGCTTTAACTAAGAGTTTACTCATTTGAAATTAGAGCCTTTGGCAATCCCAGCAGATCTAAAATTTTTGAAAGTGCCCCATCTTGGTTAGCCCTTAAGTTAACCACTATGAGTGTTTATAAATAATGGAGTTAGCCCTTATGTATAACAAATTAAGTATTTGGCAACTTTATAGAAAAGAAGGCAGTTCTAATAGCTTGCAATCAAAGCAATCTGAGATTAAAGAAATTTGAGATACTGTCAAAAGTTCTGCACAATTAACATTAGCTTGCAAATTCTAGTGGGACAGACTGATAATGATAGGGTAAGAAGGGAGAACTGAAGCTGCCATATAGCAATTATATTCCCTCCCTAAACACTTGCAAATATCATCTCCACTGTAATCTTTTAATTCCTCTCTTTCTCTCCCAAGGTACAGGTGATAAATAGTGAAAACTTTGCAAGCCACTTGCTTTGATTGATATAGGACTCCCTTGCTTCTCCTCATAGCTAATAATGTAGAAAGAAGGGAGCACTTAATATGCTACTTTGCTCTTTTCTGTCATCCAAACTGATCTCCAAGACACTCTTATCTGGATATTTTTGCATTTTAACATACTATTACTATCTCTCTTCACCAACTTAATCGTGTTTTTATTCTCAGTAAATTTCCATTCTTATTCTATTAGCTGTGTGTACTTAGCTTCTGTAGCAAAGTTCCCTTGCGTTCTTTACCTATTCGATATCTCCTTTCTTCCCAGTCTGAAAAGTATCCATAGCTTCACCTCAGCAGATGGCTGAAGGGATGAACTATGGGGAGGTGGTATATGATACCTGGAAGAGGGAATGCCCAGAAAAATAACAACAGAGGAAGGTGAGTAAAACTGTGTATAAAGGGCTGGGGTTGTGGCTCAGTGGTAGAGTGTTCACCTAGCATTTGTGACGCCCTGGGTTCGATCCTCAGAACCACATAAAAATAAATAAATAAATTTAAAAGAAGGTATTATGTCCAACTACAACTACAATAATTAAATATTTTTTAAAAAATGTGTATGAGATCAAGTGGGATTTGTCAAAGATGTATATTAGCTAAAGGAGCAAAGGGGAAGTGGGTGGGTTCAGACTGTAGTGGTTCTTAAATATCATTTTAAGATGTTCTTATACTATGCAATGTTCTTACTGCTCTGCAGATGAAGGGGTCATCTTAGATACAACCAAATGTTCAAAGTTAGAAAATGATAGGTTTGTTTACTCAGAAGCCTATCCAGTTGCCAGCAGAGCTATCTCAGTGTTCCTAATTGGTGGGAGGGAACTTCTCAACAGTTCATGCAGGTGTATCACCAACCATCTGGGTAGCATCTCAGAAGAAGCTCATCTTAGGTAGGTGTAGGAGCTGCCTGGGATTAAAAAAAACTCTTGTCTCAATATCATACAACTCAATATCATACAACTCTATAAACTTAGCTTCTATGATCACTGAAAGGATGCTGATTAAAACAGCCATCACAGGGAAGTCAAAGCTATAGTTTTCCTCATGAGGTATTTATAGTTACTGAGTTCCCATGCAAATTTACTGATCAGGGAGATCATTTTTACTATAAGCAATGTTGCCAAGTAATGTATTTAACGTATCTAATTCTGTTACTCTGCTTATATTTGTATTGTCCACAACCCCTTTTGTTTGGGAAGTAGTCAACAGGGTTTATTTTGCTTATTTTGATGTAGTGTGTTTTAACTTTTTATCACAGATAAAGTGTGAAATAGAGTGAGAGGAGAGTAAGGCTTGAAAGTTAGGAAAGGACTATTAGATCATTAAAATCCTGGAATTCTATGCCAAAAAATTTTGGCTTTTATTATCTTGTAGAAGATCAGAAACAAAAGAGTAAAAGTTTTGGGTAGAATAATGTAATCAAGAACTGGGTTTAGTAAGGCACTTTGGCTATGCTGTGGAGAGTGGATAAGACAGGATTTAAACTTAAGGCTGGTTGTTTTATTTCTACTTTTTTTTTTTTTTAATATTGCCTTTCTTTGGGCAAGATATTTCTCTGATAAGCAAAAAGAAGTAATACTCAATTCTATGCTCTATAGGATTTTAGAATTGCTGGACAGGTTCTGCATGGTCTTTTGAAAGGGTCTGAACCAGTTTGTCCCTTAATTTATTATCTCCTTTCCCCAACAGAGGTTGAAAGGACTATCCTGAAGGGCATCTTAAGGATGATGGATTTAACCTAACACTAGGAAATTCTAGCCTCCACTGACTTCCACTCATCTCTATTGTACTCACTAGCATGTCCCATTTTCCTTTTTGCTGGAGTTAAATTATGAGAACAGTTTATTGGTGGCTTTTAAAAATCATTATTTTTAGGTTTAGTTTAGGGCAAGCCAGGGAGTTTCTTTAAGGGTTAGCTGGTTTAATTAACATCTGTAATCATAAACCATTTCTAATTATAAGCTGTGTGAGAAATAGTTTTCACATTTTCTCCTCTGTATTTCTTATATTGCTCTTTACTGCCCTTTCCTTACCAGGCTTATGCTGTTATAATAAATATATTGTTTATAAAATCTGATTGATCCAGCAGCAGAAACAAGTTGATCTATAATTTGATCATTATGTATTCAAAGACTCCAGGCCACTTTGATTGGTATATTTGTGCCTAGAGAGTACCAATTGATTACCTTTTCCACCTACATCACCATAAAGCTACGTGGAAGACAGAAATACTTCTGGATTTGATTCAGGTCAGTAAGATAAAATTATGGTTATCCAGACTATTTCTTTTTATGTCTTATAAGACAACCAGGTATCTTAGCATATGCCAAAGATAATGGATCAGGCAAAAATTTGGCATTTTTTTCCCATTGTTTTTTGATATTATCAGTTTCCATCCTTGTGCAACAGCAAATATATATTTATATTCATAAAATCTAAGGAATGGTGGCAAGAAACTTTTCTTTCTTTACCAGTAATCAAACCAAAGGGCTTTTTATTTTTGCTTAAGATTGAACCCAGAAGGCTGGGGTTGTGTCTCAGTGGTAGAGTGCTCACCTACCAGGTGCGAGGCACTGGGTTCAATCCTCAGCACCACCTAAAAATAAGTAAAGTAAAGGTAGTGTCTCTAACTTCAATAAAAAATATATATATTAAAAAAAGAAAGAAAAAGATTGAACCCAGGGTTTTGTAAGTACCACACCCTGCCTGGCCAGCCCTATAGGGCTATTTTCAAAAGAAATCATTTTTTATAATCATAGTTATTAAAGTATCAATTCCAACAATGTTTTATAGATGAGCTAAGGGGAAAAGGCTCATTAATTTAGCCAATTTTTAAAAATGTTTCTTCTTTTACTACCAAATACTAGTGTACATATTTGAGGAATGAAAAAAGATACTTCTGATACTATGGTTTAGCACTGTGCTCTATAGGAAATAGTGACAAAAATCGGTATGGAGACAAGTGGGGGGGAAATATGTGAGGCACTTGTATTTGGTGAATAAATGCCACTTGGGCATTAATTTCAACTATGATGAACTGAACAGTATTTTCTGATATAAGAAATGTAAGCCAGGCGTGGTGATGCACACCTGTAATTCCAGCAGCTCTGGAGGCTGAGACAGGAGGATCGCTAGTTCAAAGGCAGCTTCAGCAAAAGAAAGGCACTAAGCAACTCAGTGAGATCCTGTCCCTAAATAAAATACAAAATAAGGCTGGGCATGTGGCTCAGTGGTCAAGTGCCTCTGAGTTCAATACCTGATACATCCCACAAAAAAATTAATTTAAAAATGCAAACAATTATATTTAAATCTCGTTAATCAACATAGGACTACATTAAATGAAGCTGCATGAACATGTTCCTGATGATCCATAATCCTTAATACAAATATAAAAGATTATTATTATTACATTATTGCAGGTGCAAAACATGTTACCTAATAATCAACCCTTTTCTTGTAGTGACTCTGTGCAGAATTCCTTCTACCAACAAAGGACATCAGAAAAAGACAGTGGTGTTCAACATTCTTGTTTGTTGGTCCCAAATAGGGATCCTTTGAAACAAGTGACTTGCTTATCGTAATGTAAGCTAGCCAATCACAGAAATTAAAACATTAAATAAGTGGGACCTGTGAGCGCTAGGCAGGACTGGAATTTTCTAGTCAGCAAGCAAATTATAAACAGAAGCTAAAATTACAGTCAGTTGACCACAGTCCCAGGTTCAAGCAGGTGCTAGACAGTCGCATTCTGAACTTGGGCAGGGGTCGGATGAGAATCAATTTCAAAGTCATGCAGACCTACAAGTGCACTCAAACCCAGGATGTAGCTCATCATGACCACTGCTGCATCCTGAGTAAGGTACAATTTGTGAGGTTCAAAGTACAGAAAAACAATTTTTATAAGAAAACAGCTTTCGTTTCAGATTCTCAAAAACAGTTCTTGTAACAGTTTTTTTTTCTTTTTTTTTTTTATAGAAGGCAGCAAAATGGAGTCTTAGGCCTGTCTCTGACAGTTCTTGCTTTATAATTGTCTTATCTCACTTATCAAAATCTTATAATATATATTTTTTACTAATCTATAACCTATAACTTACACTCTTATTGATTGTATTTATCAGTTCTTACCACAACATTAACCTTATAGAGAAGATACCAAATAAGTAATTTTAGTAAAATAATTGAGTTATCTGAACAAGTAGTTTGAATGCTGTGATCACATGGTAAGGGAACGTAATTTAAAGGATAAAATTTACTTCACTTGCATTTTTCACCTTGATCGTACAGGTGTGTATTACAGTGCTTTTACTTAGGTTATACAAATAAATAAAATCCCTTTATTAGATGGCTTTTTCCATGAAACCATATGTCAGTTTTCACTATATATTAGAGTTCTTGACTGCTAAAACTTCAGTTTACTATGAGGCTTACAAAGCTTAGTTTATTATAGCTGAATTTAAATTTGATGTGTTTATAATTTTAATTTGCTAATTAAACAAAAATAGTACATAATTATTTTTAACAAGTTGACTTAATATTGGGCTAGAAATCTCCCCCCCCCCCCAACAGTGCTGGGAATTTGAACTACAGGCCTTGCATGCACTAGACAAGCATTCTACCATTGAGCCACATCTCCAGCCCTGCATTAAAAATCTGAATTTTGGATTTCAAAGTATATTCTAAGTTTTCCTAATTACAAAAAAAAAAAAAAAATGGAACTGAGCTTGGGGGCACACACCTGTAATCCCATCTACTTGGAAGACTGAATCAGGAGGATCATAAGTTTGAGGCTTATGATCATAAACTTAGAGCTATAAGTTTGAGGCTTATTGAGACTCTGTCTTAAATATAAATGGCCAAGGATAAAGCATTTGCCTAGTATGTAGGAATCCCTGGGTTCAATCCCCAGTACTGAAGAAAAAAAAAGATGGTGCTAGGTGCCATGTGTTTATGGTAACTCTGAAACTTTGAAAACAGTGCAAAAATAATCAATGTTAACAGCCAGCATTTGTTTGTTCATACTTTTCTGATCTCTGAAATGGATTTATTTTTTAAAATATGAGTTAGATTCTGCTCTAGGCCCCTATTTCTAGTGTTAAATATATCATTAAAGCTAAGTTTGTCCAGAACAGCACACAGTCTCCCTGAAATTCTATCCTTATTAATTTATTTATGTTATTGTTACTATTCTTCCACACACTCAGGTTTGAACAGATACCATCATCTTCATCATTCTTCCTGTCCATTTGCCACAGGCATACCATAAGTTCTGTCTCTGTAATATTTTTTACATTCATCCCCCTTTCAGATCTTGTTGCTTCTAGGCAAGTTTAAACAGTACCTCTTACATTGTAAAATTTTCCAACTGAAAATCATATTCACCAATGCCAAATTCATCTTCTTAAGTATACCTCTACATCTCCCTTCAGGAGCCTCTTCCTCACCCAAGGAAAGAGTACTTGTCCTTGACAATTCAGTTAGCATTTTATTCAAAACCTTTTTTTTTTTTTTTTAAGAGATAGAGAGAGAGAATTTTAATATTTATTTTTTAGTTTTCGGCGGACACAACATCTTTGTTTGTATGTGGTGCTGAGGATCAAACCCGAGCTGCACGCAAGCCAGGCGAGCGCGCTACCGCTTGAGCCACATCCTCAGCCCTCAAGACCTTGTTTTGCTTAATTGTAAGATATTTCAAGTCAAGGTCTCTGCCATTAATTTACTCATTTATTTCGTCTTATTTAAATTCAGTAATATGTAAATGTCATGTACTACACAAAGTGTTAGGGATATATAGTAGTCCCTGCCCTGACAGATTTTATAGGCTATTTTCTCACCTTTGTTTTCTGTGTAGAGAATGGCTCTTTGTTGGATTTATATAAATATAGGATTTTTAAAATTTTATAACACTTGTATGAGTTTGAAAAAGAGTACAGATTACCTAGTGTATTTCTAGAATTAAAGTCAAGGTTTAAAAAAGCAAATCTCAAATCTTTTCTATCTGGGTAAATAGTTTCTGCCATCATACATTTTTAAGTGTTAGGTGGGATATAGTTGAGAAAAAATTTAGGGAGTGAGTCCTGCCAGGTTAGTATAGTAAAAATAGTTCTGAATGTTTCCTTTTATATTTTTATTTATATTATTTACACTTAAAACTATAGAAATAGATTATTAAAATTGATTACTTTTAGCACTGGGCATGTAGCTTAGTGATAGAGTGCTTGCGGAGCATGCATGAAGCCCTGGATCCAGTCCCCAGAACTGGGGAAAAAATGATTACTCTTAAATACTGTTATCTTAAAAACCAAACCAAAACAAAAACCATGTGAAGAGAGATTTGAATAATGATTATTACCTATATAAATTAGCTACTAAATAGCTATGGTTTAAATTATTCAGTGACTTGATAGCTTCTCCCCACCACACTTCTGTGCTGGGGGTAGAACCCAGAGCTTCATGCATGCTAGGCAAGCACTCCACCACTGAGCTACATCCCCAGCCTGACGATTTTTCTCCCCTACCTTAAACAGGTAAAAGAATAAATACATAACATTTATTACATTCCCAAGGCATTGTAATATAGATTCCAAAGCCATAGCTTTAAAAGTCACACAGTTGGAGTGTGCTTATCTGCCCTCTGTCTCAAAGATGTTTCATTGTTTCTACTGTATTACTGAATACTGTGTCATGTTTCAAATTCACAAACTAACATTTGAGCAGATATGAAGCAAAAATTTTAGGTGAGTCCCTTAATTACTTTTTTGAAAATGTGTTCATAATTGACACTTATATGTGAGCATTTGTATCTCAAATTTTACTTGAAGTAAAGCAAAGTTATTAAGACAAAAAGGTACAGAATATAATTTTATAATCAGTTTTAAGAAAGTGTGTGTCAGTTTGAAAAGACAACTGCTATTTAGCCATTGGTTTTCAAAGTGATAGAATTTTATATCTTAAGAATGAAATATAAAAAAGAAATTCTTGGAATAACATGATTTTACTCAAGTTGAAAAATTTTAAGAAGATTTTTGTCACCGGAGGTAAATGCTTTCTTTTTCTTCTCTCTACTCCCTGCCCCTCAACACACTGAGAATTGAACCTGGGGGCTCTACCACTGAACTTGCAGTCCTCCTTCTTCAGCCTCCCAAGTAGCTGGGATTTCAGCTGTGTACCATCATGCCTAACTCACTAATAACTTTTGAAATATGTGGTTTTTAACTTATTTTATAATTTAAAAATATACAGGATGTTTATAATA